AATGAAAATAGAATTCCATGGCACTTGCACCTTTATATCTGCATACATATGTTGCTACCTGCATTCTTTTCCATTTGCAGCAGCCTTTCCCACCACCCTCCGGTACCACCCAGGTCAGTCTGTGGCTCAGTGTTCAGTGTGGGTTTCAGATTCCCAAAGCAGTTTCACAGTCCTGCTTTCTCAACCCCATAACTGACTGGGGTTTGGAGGAATGAAGAATGAGACTCAGGCTCCCAGAGCCACCCCGGCGGGACCTGGGCGGCCCTGCCCCGTGTTGGCCCGTGCTCACCTTGGTCTCCAGGATCAGCAGGCGGAGGAGCTGTCAGTCTGGTCTTCGGCGTGACTGTCGGGTTCCGAACCAGTGCTGTTCCTCGACAGCAGGACCTCCTGTGATCAGGCGCTGGAAGGTTTTCTTGGCTGATAGCCGTCATTACCTTGGATATCTTTAGAGTGTTTACGTTTTTTTAAATAACAAATTTGCTCCTTTTTTAAAATTTCTTTTTATAGTGGGGGGTGGCTAACTTTGTTAAACTAGTCTCTATATATATTTGGATCAAATTTATTGATATGACACATGTTCATAATAGTAATTATTTCTTGAAGCTGTAACACTGGGTTCTTTTAAAAACTGAGTCGGTACACTTTTGATAGGATATTTACAAAATAACCGTGTGGATGCTTATGTAGTAGTAAGAGAAGACAAATATGAATCACCATAGCTAATTTTATAATAGAAAATCATTGCCAGAGCCCGTATTTCAACAGCCATGCTTGTGTAATGAATGGACTAGCTAGAGATGATTAATATCAAATATTAAAAATTTTCTACCAAGTACTCAATTGGAAATTACAGGTTTTATGTTACAATTTAACTTCCAAACAATGGTCATATTGGCTGCCGTATTTAACATCCATTTCATCATATGGTCCTTTCAGCAAGATCAGAAGAGAGGGGTGGGAGGAAAAAGGTAAACCCGTGATTGGGGGAAGTGTATTAGTGAGTGTGTACGAGTGTGTATGAGTGAATGGTAGCTCTCCACTCACCATGTGCTGTGTGCCCTCCCCCACTCACCTCACTCTCTCACCTCTCTGTGGTGTCTGGTGGGCTTGTTCTCCATTACTTGCTCTGGGTTAAGGCTTTCTCCTCTTCCTCCTTACTCGACTCTGAACAATCCTAGCCCCATAACTGTTCATTTTCTGGTTTCTTAGAATGTAGCATCAATAACTTCTTTCTGCTGTTTTTGAAATCTGTTATTGTGATGGTGAATTCTACTGGTAGAATTTCTGATGTTAAGCTTGTGGAGCCATCCTTGTGTTTCTGGAATAAACCCTGTCCCATATGAAGCAGAGTGTATGTGCATGTGTGTGTAATTTGCTAATACATGTATTCCCTTAGGTCTGTTTTCAGCTGTGTTCTTTGATGAGGTGGGCCCATGATTTTCCTTTCTCATAATGACCTTATCCAGCTTTAGTGTCAAGGTTATCAAGATCAAAATAATCTTCAAACTGCATTAGGAAGCTGTACTTTTTCCAGTCTCTGAAATGATTTCTATGAAGTTGAGATTACAAGTTTCTTAAGGAATTGTTAAAACTTACATGTAAAAATGAGCCTGTGGCCTTTTTTGGTAAACTACTCGGGCACTTACTATGTGTTTTGTTTGGGTGTTAGAAACTATAATATATGAAAATGTATTTGAAAAAGTTCTTTTAATGGGGGTATTATGCATATACTTAAAGGCAGAGAGGAAGGAACTTGGTAGCATTGGAGATTTTAGAGGAAAAAAGAGGTGATTTGGGAAAGGGATAAAGGAGGAGAGAAGAGATGGGAAGGAAGTGAAGTCGGAGGGACCAGTCCTTGAAAAGTGGAACAAGCTCTGTGACCGTGTTCTTACAGGGCAAGTTTGAGAGGATCGGGACTGACGGGGCATTTTTCGGTTAGAGATGGGCTGGTGCAGGAGCTCTCTCTCAAGGCTCTCATGTTCTCCAGTCAGACAGGAGGCCATGTAACACAGAAGGTCGAAACAGCCAGGAGGAGGGTCGGTTGCACAGGAAAGACAAAAATGAGAATATACGGGTTATTCAGCTTTGCTATTAACCATAAAAAAACACAGTTTTAATGGGGAAGTACATTAGAAATTCAAATAAGGAAAATCCAACAAGATTGACAGAACTCTATGTCGTTAACTCATTTCCCCCTTCCTCCTTTCATTATTTGAGGGCATTTCAGGACAGAGCATAACCCTTCCTGCTGCTTAGTACAGGAACCCAAACCTGAAGTGACGTGTCGGCCTCCAGGGCCATATTGGCCACTTTCTTCCAATTCTTCTAACTGAAAAGGCAGATAAATGTTAAGTGATTTTCTTCTGATGTCTATTTGTAGTCGTCTCTGCCCTCACATGGCTCATTTTCTGCTCCTTAACAGAAAGGTCAAGCCCCGCTCTTGCCTCCCCACCTTGAATGTGGTGCGCGTGGCCGGCTTTGGATGCTGCGCGTTTTGGTGAAGAGAGCGCTGGAAGTGTGCTCAGGGGCCTTGGGCTCCAGGCCTGGCTGGGCTCTCTCTCTAGTCTTAGGTTTCCTATCTGTGTGATGAAGTTCTTGAACTAAAACTACTCTATGGACACTTCTAGGTCTTAGCCAGGCTTAACAAAGGCTCTGTGGTGAACATGCCATTGGGAATTTTTCATAGGTAACATTCTACATAGTTGCACTGAACTCAGTGTCTTTCTCTAAACCACCCATACCTCTTGGCATCTATGTATCAGTCATCATTGTTCTCTTCACTCAATCTTGAAACTACTTTGCTGTCTTTAACTTCTTCCCTTTAGGCCTGATGTCTGGTTAGTTATCTGGCAAGTGGAACTCTCTCATTGCATCTGCCTTTTGCATTTTCATAGCCATTACAAATAGAGCCACTACCTAAGTTGTGTGATTTTTATTTGCTTAACACCTAATATTCTGGCCTCCACTCATTTCTCTTTGCTCCCTATCAATGGCTATTCACGTTCCTAAGATACTTGCTTTAATGTATGAAGTGTTTGCTTGAAAACTTCTCAAAGCCTTTCCATTACAGATGAAGTCAAGTCCAAACTTTTTAAACTATAAACAGATAATTTTAGTTACATTTAAATATACCTTCCAGTTACCTTCCCCAGTAGTTTCTTGAGTTGCCACAGCTTTTTCCTTTCTGCTCCTTTTCCTTCTTTCCTTTCAGTTTTAATGTTCTTCTTTTGAATTCACCTACTCATTCTGTCTTTAATCCACACATTTATTATTGCCCATCACATTCAAGGTGCTGCAGAGCTGCAGAGAGCTATGTGGACATAAGAGTGGTGTGGTCCTGTCTCCCCCAAACAGAGAAGCTTCTCAGGGGCATGATGGGGGAGGTGAGCAATACTGGCTACAGCCGTAGTCCCCCACATTGCTCTCCTGCTTCCTGAAGAACACACCTATACTGAAAATATGCAGTTGTATCTTCCCTGTCTTTCCACCTAGGTCCTCAATCATCTCTCCTTTCTGTGTACAAATACTTCCTGTAACCCTACAAATACATGTAAGGATCTTGTATGTTTAAAGAAGATACAGTGTTTAAAGATGATATTAGTGCTACTTCCCTGAGTTATAAACTCCCAGAAGAGACCATTTATTAACTTTTTGCTAGCTCCAGGGCCTTACCCATACCCTGCTATAAATAAGAACTTTTAAAAATTGACTTACCTATAAAATGAAGACATGAATATAAACAGCTAATAAGAATCAAGATACACATTAAAATTTCAAAAACCATATACAGATCTCTGTATAACTCAACCTTGGTCTCCCTTATGCAGAATAGAACTTGCAGTTTGTGTCATTTTTTTCCCCCCAATCAGTGATAGAGAAATGCCATATTTATTATTCAGAGCTCTTCCTTGAAAATTATCCATCTCAATCACATCAACAAAGGTGTTTCTACAGGATGTATTATGGGGCATGGGCATTAATTCCATGTTAGATCTGTCTTTAGCATCTGCTTTTTTTGAAAGAGATCTCCCCTATGTTACACATTTTCCCCTCAAACCAATAACTTTATTGAGTGATACTTGTCATGTGCCTGTTTAGTCAGTGTGATATTGCCAATCTATTAAAATAAGAAAAATATTAAATCTAAGAGAAAAAGATAAATAACACAGCTGAGTGTTAGGGATGATGATAAGGTATGGCACAACTGGCAGGCAACTCACTAAATTTTTTTGTTTTTGGTATCAGAAATGAGCTTATGGAAGTCACAGAAATGGCTTGCAAAGTGGCAGCATGCTATGCCTCTTTGAATAGTGTCATTTGGTTATAATCAGGGTCTCAGCTAGAGGCCATTTAATAGGAGTTGACAGTGCTTGTAAAATTCCTGTTTCTGAAGAGTGACTATTTCCTGATTTCCCTTAGAAAAAAATGCGAATGAGGCCTAGAGGTCATTGTGGATTTGTCATCTAGAAAGGACTGAATGTGTTTAATGAGTCTAAACATGGGGCCAAAATAGAAATCCAAAGGACAGGGAAATGCAATGTCCTCTTTGAAAGAAGGCAAATGTGTTGCTTCTGTGTCTGTCCTTGTTTGGAAGGAGGGCTTTTGTGATTTTTCCAAATCTTCAGCTTTTTCCCGGGAAGTTGCACAGGAAATGGGCTTGTTTGCAGTCAGTCTCCTCTGATGAATAATGTGATTGCTGTGCTATTTTCTGCCTAGCCCAGAGCTGAAAGGAAGATGCACATCTGGCTTGTAAATCACAACCAAGCATTGGTGCCTCACTCATGCTTTACTGGGTGGCTGCCCTCTGTGTTTTACATATTCTCAGCATGCATTATAGGACATCCTGATGGAAACCTCCAGTGGCTCCTAAGCCATCACATCAGGGAACCTTCAAACCCTCTCTGAAATGTCATGATTGCTATCTGATGTACACTCTCTGTGGTCCCCAGAGGAAACATCATTCATTTTTATCTTTTTATGTATTTATTTTTCCTATTTAGAGATTGGCCCCTGGTTACGGGAGTTCAGAGTGAAGAATGCTGTGGATTTCTCGCAGTTAACATTTGACCCAGGACAGAAAGAGCTTGTTGTAGGAGCAAGGTGAGAGATCTTAATGTTTTGCCACCCAGATATTTTCAGACCTTGTGTTATTTGTGTGCAATTATACTTGAGCTGCTCCGCCATAGTTGACAAGTGCCATGTGATATTTCTTCTAAGAATGAAATACAGTATGATTGTCATAAAGTATGCTGCTAATAATAGGATGGCTACTGATCTTTATAGCAAGCATTTATTGGTCCCTACCCCTGTGCTAGTAGCTGTCCTAACATGAATTAATTCTTTTTTCCCTCCCATTAAACCTGAGAGGTAGGTATTGTCACATCCCTATTTTAGAGATGAGGAAATTACAGCAGAAGGTGGGTAAGTATGTTGCTGTGGGACATATTTATTAATGCCTACTAAAAGATGGACCCATGTTTCAGACACTGGCAGTTTGACTCCAGAAACCATGTTCTTAACTTCACCTTACATTCACTACATTCTTCAGTAAAACTCTAGAGATGTTTACTGAAGAATGTAGAGAGACCTGAATATCCATTCCAATGCCCATTGTTAGCTTTCTTTGTGACTTTGGTTAGGCAGTTGAGAATTCCAGCAAGTTGTTGTTAGTTATCTGTCTGAAGGGGCACATGTTCCTATATCCAGGTGAATGCCTCACGTCCCTTTTGACCACGAGGCCACTGGAACACAGTGAGAACAAATCTTGAGTTAAACAGTTCCCTCGTATTTACTGTTGCTTCCTTAGAAAACACACTGAACCCCTGCATTCAAACCACCTGTCCTGCCTGTGTTATTTTGAGGATAATGTATGAAAACCACTTTATATCCCTCTCTTAGGAAAAATGATATGAAACTTGAAGGAAGAGGCCATTCATAGCACTGGACTCTGCAGGCTCTCAAGGAATTGCTTTGTGCAGTGGAGTGCGCCTACCTATCTCTTGACCAAAGCTATTGGACTGGAGAGCTTCCCTTTCATAGCAAGAAGGGTTGTGCCATTTCCACACAGACCTGGGGAAGCTAAATCTACCTTGGGTTCTGGGCACTCTTGACGGACCCAAACAGTTCCTAGATCCATTGCTGCTGCTCATGGATCTCAAGGAAACCCTGCATACCCACCCAGCACTTGAAGACATTGAGATGTGTGGCCGTAACTTTATGGGAACAGACAGGAGTTGACTTAGCTCCTGGCACATAGCATGTCGTCTTCATCTCTTCTCACGTTTTGTGCAGACAGTTTGGATTGGGTGGACTTGACCTGGTACTTTTGCCTACTTCTGCCTGTTGGGAATCTGTGGTGGGGCTTCTGATGCTGACTTACATCAAATTCCACCACTGGCAGCCTGGGCTGTCTATTGCAGGGTTTTTTAACTGGTCTGCTGCCACCAATTTTTCTCCCCTTCTGTATATCATGGGCAATGTCTTCTTCAAATGCCCCCTTCAGTAGCTCCCACTGGATAAATGTGGCTCACTGACCACCTGCTGTGGTCCCACATCCCTTACAGACTGTCACCTTGTTTTCACTCTCACAAAGTTGAGGCATATGGGATTGTTTATGGTTCCCACATTATCAAATGCTTTTTTACTTGCCTTTAAGATTTGGTGACTCTTGCTTTTCTGGAAGATTGTCTGCCAACCCACCCTCACCCCAAGTTGCCTACTCAGTGAACTCGTATTCTTAGTGAGGATGTGGTTCAAGGGTCCTCCACTGGGCCCGAGCTGCTATATTCCCTGCTCTGGTGGTCTGTTAATGCATCTGCCACTCACCTTCATTACTGCCCTTACTGCATTATTTCTTGTTGGGTGCCACCTGCCCCCTGCCCCCCACTGACCCCATGATCAGACAGTGACTTACCAGATGGTAAAGGAGTGTCTGTCCTTTTTTGTGTGTGTTTCTCTAAAATGTAGTCCTGGTAGAAGCGTAAAGATCTCTGTTGATTCAACATACATATTTTCAGAATTTGATTTGTGTATGTGCCTTCTGCACCTGGCAGGACTCTTAGGGGAAGAGGGATCAGGGTTGCAGCAGATTTATCCACATTTGGTCAATAACACAAGGGAGTGGCCATCCCTACACCCCAAAGCTAACTCTTAGGGAAATGACCTGTCAGCCAGGGGGAAAGAGGGCCCCCAGCTGAGGTAGCAGGTGCAAACAGGACCTCCACTGAGGGGGCTGAGTCTTGCATCCTTCATTCAATGCGTGAACAGACCAGCACTGTGCACACGCATACACCCTGCAGGTGGGTGGCTGCTGAGCAGTGACACAGATTCTCTTAATAGGTGTGAGAAGCCAGTGAGCAAATTGGGACTTGAAAGAGACATGTCATGGCCCTGTCCTGGTTGGAGACAGCACTCGGGAACTGTCCCCAGGGGACATCTGTCCCTGGAGGTCTCTATCCATCTCATTTCACCACTGCCCCAGCCCAGCCATGCTGGGAGGTATTGGATGAGCCACTATGTCAGGCTTGCCTAGTATGGCGCCGGGCCCAGGAGCAGTAGGAACACCAGGCTGAGCACGTAAATGTCCAGGAGGTGTGGTTAGATTAGAATTTCAAGTAAGCATCCCTAGGAGCATGGGCTCTGTCTTCTTTTCTAAACGGCGCTGGGTACATTGCAGACCTTGATAAACCAGTAGCAGAAAGGGGCAGACTGGGCTTGCTCAGCAGCCTCACCTTGAGCCTGTTTCAGACTCTAATTTTCTCATCTTTAGAATTGATATAATTATTCCTATCCTCATCAGCTGTTGTGAGGATTACATGAAGTGACCCATGAAGAGCGACAGTCATGGGAATGGGCACCCAGCGAGGCCGCCACAGCAGGGAAGCTCTGCAGTATGTCTGGGTCTCAGCGCGTGTGCTCCACGTGTGCCTCTGGCAGACACCAGTGAGTGAGGAGATGAGGAATTTTACCTAGGAAACTGGGTGGGATTAGGCTCAGAAAGTTTGGGAGGGAGTGTGAGCCAGTTATGAACCTTTAAAAATAACCCAACCCTCAGATTCCTGTTTGGGAGGGCTTGATCTAGCAAAGTAAGTTTAGATAGCAGGTGTGTATTTCAGAAATCTCTAATGGTTTAACTATGTGAGTGTGGGAAAAATGCAGTATGGTGTTTTTGTTTTCTCATACTTAACACAGGCTTTGTGAAGCCATTTATGGGTGGCTTCACTTTATACCAGTGATATTTTAATGTTCCTGAAATCAAATTCTCTGAAGGATTCTTTGTGTTCTTTGCAACAAAAAGTTTCTTGTGCTGCAAAAGAAAGCATCTTCTTTGGCAATTTGTGGTCATACAGTGCTAGAAGGTACGTGCATATGAATTCATGCAATTTCTGGAAGGATCCCTAAATTTTCCATTTCCAAAGTTTACATTATCTTTCATATTATTTTAAGAACATTGACATGCATATCCTATTTTACCCAAGCCTCCCTAAAAATTAATAATGTTTCTATTTTCAGTAATGAGACTCAGGCATTTTCATCTTAGAAAATGTAGAAAATATAGCAAAACATAAAGGAAACACAGAATTTTGGAAATAATCACAGTTACCTTTTCAGTTTTATGTGATTTATATTTGCTTATACTATTGGGATAATAGTTTATGAGTGATTTGTATACTTACTTGTCAAAAAACCCACTAAAAAAGCCTCTATTATATATATTCAAGTTCCAAAATGAAAGCCTATGATGTGCTTTAGTGATGATTTTAATAATAGTTCACAAAGTTGATTCAGGTGTAAATTTCAACTGCAGACAGGATATCAACAACAGAGGTTAAGAGAGAGTGATTACATTTTTATTCTCAGAATGAATCTGCTTGACTGTAGTGTCTCATGTTCATTGTAAGGATGACGGTTGATCTGTGCTGAATTCAAATGTTATTCCAAATGGCAACTAACTTGGTCCACACACAATGCAGTGTTTGATAACAATCAGGGCATTTATAAATTGACTGTGTTTTTATAAAGCATAAAGACACACTGTAGTAATAAAAAGGAACTTCTCACCTGAGAGAATGTAAGTTTCTTTCAGCGTTTTTGTTTCTTTTCTTTCAGCTACTTCCTACCTGTAGCTTGATTTCTGATTATTTCCTTCTTTCCTAACAAGCTTCAGTGTAATAAAAACTTAAGTTGAAGGGCAGGGCGTAGCCTTGCAAACTTTGATATTTTAATAAGAACACTCACCTGTGAGCTCTTGTACAGCATTGTTAGTCCCGGCGGTCCAGCCATATGCCCGGGTGAAGGTGGTGGGAGTGACATCCGTAGACCCAATACTTGGGACAGGTGACTGTCATAACTGAAGACAAGCACATAAAGACTTATGTCCTTGGAAATTTTTGGGTTTAATTCTATTAAATTACATCACATGATAGGAACATTATAAAGCTATCAGGAGAAAGGGTAATGGGGATGTGTGAATCTCCTTGCACACCTGGCCGGATGTAAGGACCAGCCCAGTGCCAGGCGCCTTGCATGGCACCACTGGACTTGCCGCTACAGTCAGTGCCCTGTTTCCATCTGTGGGAAGATATTTCTGTATATATGTCTGTACAACAAATAGCACAGACTTCTTAATCAGCATGTTTATTACTAAAAATAAAAACTAAAAGCCGAGTGCTTCCGAGGCAGAGCTTCCTTACAGTCACAACAAACTAATCTTGACAAATTCTAGTGTATTAGTTTGAACCATTGTTTTTGCCCATGGCTTAAAATCTATAAAAAAATACAGATAAAAAGGGAAGATTAACTTGCTTTTGTGTTATGCTGGGACTGAATTTGCTTTAAGTGTTCAAAGCATATATTTCCATAAAGTCACAGTGGATCAACAGGCAGATATTAATTTAGAGTAAGGTCCTCCTTTCAAAATGACTTTGCCACTGGTTCTAAACAAATCAGCTAAATTTGGGGTTCACAGAAAGGCCATTTTTAAATATTGACTAATATAATTCTCCCTTTTGTTTGGTGGTTGTAATGCCTATTGTTATTTTAAAGTTTTACCTTAAAATTAATCTTCTGGGAGCTGTATATGATTAAAAGAAAACTGGAGA